TAGTGGGAACCAGGCCTGGGAGGGCCACCAGGGCACCACCAGAATGCCCACTGCTCCGTCGTCCACTATTTTTCTCAATACTCGTGGTAATAAGATGAAAGGTGGAAATGCGTAAAAATATATGTCCCTCCAGGACAAGGTGAACGCATCTATTGCGATAGATCCTGGACCCGGAAACCAAGAAACATATAAGTCGCATTTCTTATTGATTAAAGATGCGAACAAGTCTATCTCAAACGGCCCGAAAAGTTTTGTTATACGACAAAACGCCTCGTCCGACAGTGACCACTCAGTGTCTGGGTCCGCAATACGAGATTCAGTATCGGCAATTAAATTCTCTACCGAGGAAATATAAGAGGCAAAAATGAAAATATCTCTATCCTCACACCAACGCCAAATTTGTCTCGAGATTGCAGTGAGATGGGGGTATCGTATCGATCCGAATTTGTTGATGTATGCTATAGCAGTAGTGTTATCGATACGGAGTAGAATGTCGCAATTATGAAGGTCCGCTGCAAAGCAGCGGAGGGCATTGAAGGCCGCCTTAAGCTCTAATAAATTTATATGAAGAATTTTGTCATTAGTCGACCACCAACCATGTGTGCGTAGGTCTCCGCAAGAAGCGCCCCAACCGTTCAAAGAGGCATCCGAGAAAATTTCGCGAACAAATTTACCAGATCGAATCTTATTAGTCTGATTAGGATTCGAAAATATTTTAAGCCACCATGTTAAGTCTGCTTGGAGGTTAGGAGGAATCGTCATAGTTGCTGAATAATCTTCATTAGAATTACTCAAAGCTAAGACCTTTTCCCTCTCAAAGTTCTTCGTGTAGAGTAGACCATATTGAACTGCTGGACATACAGAGATGAGTGAGCCAATGAAGCTGGCAAACTCTCTTATAGAACATTTCTCTTTGCGAATTATATTCCTAGTTAACTGTAATAATTTATTCCGGCGTTGGTATGGGATAGAAATAGATTGTTCTACTGAGTTGAAAATAAAACCTAGGTATTTGCATGTAATTGACGGATGTAAACTAGATTTAGAAAAATTAATTATGAATCCCAGAGACTGAAGAAAATTAACAGAAGTAGTAACGTTAGCTTGGCATTCCTCGAAAGATGAGCCCAACAGGAGAAAGTCATCCAGATAAATAATGGATTGAAAACCTCTTCCGCTAAGGTAAGTAACTATCGGTCTCATGATCTTTGTAAAAATAAAAGGAGCCGTACAGAGACCAAAAGGCAAGGCTGTGAATTGGTAAGTCTTGTTACGCCATTGGAATCGAAGGAATTTCTTATGTTGCTCGAAAATTAGAACCAGAAAATAAGCTTCCTCGAGGTCGAGAGAAGTCATATAGGTTCCAGGCAACATAAGACGGATAACCATCCGCCAATCTTCTAGTTTGAAGTGTGGCGGATGGACATATTTATTTAGTTCCCGTAGGTTTAAGATAAA